TGGTGGAAACAGTGTACAAGGATGGGGTGCTTCTTTCTTGCCCAGCAGGAAAGGGCTCACAGATTGGCAATGCAGCCTCATCAGGATGGTTAAAGATGCACCTACAACCTCCAGGAAAAGACTCAGCCTCTTAACTCAGGGGAATAGCGATGAAGCTTTTCAAACCATGGTGAAAACTGAAGCAAAGGGGGGGTCTTCATTTCAATTGAGTTAATCCAAAGCACTTGTCTCTGGCTCCACATATAATTGGTTCTGAATCCACACACCACTGACATGTGTCCCTCAACGAATTGCCCCTAACGGAATGTGGCCCTCAACAGAAAGAAAGAAAAGTTGCTTGCTCCTGCTGTTCAAGATTGTGCTAATTCAGCAAATTATTATTGTAAATCTACAAGGCGTAATGTCTCTCCCTGCCCCTCCACATCAACCCTATGTGATTTGTTCAGGTGAAAGATAATGATTTGACCAAGGCCACCCAGTGAGCTCAATTGCTGAGGAGAGTTTTGCAAGGTGTCCATCTGTGGCTTGACCTGATCTATGTTACCAGGTCACATAGGTGGAGTTTGAAATGGTTCTGTTTGTCTTTCTGGAGTTGTTCTGAAGGTGTTTAGAGGCTCCTTAAAGTTGGGGCCTCAATATACTTTCCAACCTCATTTAAAAGACCAAACAGCAAATAATGTGCCTCATTTCTGCACTTGATGTATTGCCTGCATCTCTTTCTCTCACCCACCTGGTATCGTGTTAACGCACAAGGCATGCGAACAAAAAAACCTAAATATCGGCAAAGGAGGAGCTTCTGTTCAAACACATTCAAGAAATCCCAAACCAACACAGATGTATAAAAAGACTGTAAGCTTCATGTCAGCATGTGGGAATGTTTAAGGAGGGAGAGAAACGAGGCTTTCTGCCCTGTAATTAGTCTGGCTGAGAATCAAGACCTGTCTTTTTAAAAAAACAAAAAAACAAAACCACTCATAGCCCCTAATCATCAGAAAACCACATTGGCTGGGTGGGTCAGTGGAAGGGAACCCTCTCCCCCAAACTTGTTCTTTCCCCCTTTTATAGTTGGCTTGAGGGGTGCAGGTTTCATTTCACACTTAGACATCAATTCTATGCATGTACATGTAAGAATGACCCACTGAGGGGGAACATCTGTGGGACTGGGGATCTTAGAGCTTCAGGAAAGTACTGGACTGAAGATGAGAACAATTCTATTTAAAGGGGACTCTGCAATCCAGGGCAGAGGCCTTCTATGTAATCAGCACAGTTCCCCATGTCGAAGGGCCTGAGAGATACCTGTGTTGGGTACAACCCCACCAAAGTAAGGGACTTCTTTTGAATCCCATTGATTTTAGTGGGAGAAGATTAAGCACAAAGGAATCCATTCGGAATTACCGTTTCTTCAGTAGACCCAGCTAAACTGGTCACGGCTTAGGTGGTAGTCCTATATACCCTACCTGGGAATAATGGGACTTACTTTTGAGCAAACATGCACAGGGATCACACTATAAGTCCCACTTAAACCAATGTGACTAACCTTAGTCCCATTACTTTTGATGGGACTAAATTTAGCTAGAGTGTGGCCACTGTCCTCAAAATAAGAGCAGGCCTTGCCAGAAGTCTTGAAGGTGTTACAAAGATCTGCAAACAGCTTTGCTTTCATTCTCAGAGTTGCACCTCAATTTTATGCATGTTTACTCAGAAGTAAGTTGCACAGTGTTCAATGGGTCTTATTATCTCATAAATAAATCCTAGAGCAGCTCACATAGAAGTATGCAATAAAATATCAGATGACACACAACTAAAATGAAAAGCAGCAAGAAAATACTTATGATAAACTAAATCAAACTGTTCACATCTCGCAGGGGCCCAAAGGATTATGGGGGAAAGGTGCTGCTCAAGCAAACTGTGAAACTGAAGTAGAGAAGACACCTGACACGCGTCCAGAAGGAGGGTGCCACAACTAAGAAGGCTCTTACATGGGTCACCGCCACCCCAGACTCTTGCCTAGGTGTTGGGCCACAAAGAGGAACCCTTCTAGAGATCTTAACTGTCAGTTTGGCACATACTAGACGAGATGCTCCATCAGGTACTTGGGTCCCAGTTTTTCAGAGCCTTGTAAACCAATGCAATGCTTTGAAGTAAGATTGGAAATGAATAGGCAGCCAATGCAGTTCATGGAGACTGACTTGACACCCTCCTCCCTAATCGAGCAGCAGAATTCTGCACCACCACAACCTCCAAAGTATCTTCAAGAAAAGCCCCATATAGAGTGCAGTACAGTAATCTAGCTGGGAGGTAAGGTTACCATCACGTGGATCTTTGTGGCAAAGCTAGCCCAGTCCAGGAACTGATATAGCTGGAACTGAAAATAGGGACTCCTAGCCACCTGGTCCTCCAGGGACAAAGCTGGATTCAGGAGCATCCCCAAGCGATGAACCTGCTCCTTCAGGGGGAATGCAACTTCATTCAGAACAGGCCAGCTCCCCATTTCCTAGACATGGGAACTAATGGGAACTTTACCAGTATGTATGCACAGGATTTCATCCTTAAAAGGGGGCTGAACTTCACTAACTAGTAGAAGCAAGTCCTGCACAAACCAAAAAAATATTATAACCAATCTGAAAATCGGGAGTAAGTGCTCCAATTAAAGGTAAAAAAAGTGCTTCAGCAGGAATTCTGCCCACTGAAAGATGTGTGTCTGTGCACTACCCAATTAGCTTTCTGTTTCACTCAGTCAAGATGCTAATGAAAGAGTTCTATTAGTGGATGGCACATCCCATTGGTTTTCCAAAGCCACAGGCTGCAATATATAGCTGATAATAACAACACTGTTATTGTCCCAGGGCTTTCAGCAGTGCTGGCAAATTCATGCCACCATCAAGCAAAAGCATGCTGAAAACATGGGAGTGCAATGTTAAAGCAAGGCCACAAAGCAGCTAGCCACAAAGGCTTCAAAGTGCAGAACTTCACTGCTATTATCCTGGATTGAAATAACCTTGTTCTGTGGGAAACCTGCCACCCTGGCAGGCAAAAGAGATAATGGCCAGGACAGACGACCGGAGTGTGACCAAAGATGAAAGCTGCTTTTTTATGCTAGGGAACTATTTTAGAACAAACAGCAGTACATGAACACTTGACATGAGGAGAGAGAAGCAAAACTCTTAAATTACAGTTTTGCACTACACTGCAGTCCCTGTTCTTAAACGTAGCCAGGAATATAATGACAGGTCAGCCTTGGAGGAATGTGATCCAGGGGTTGTGAACCAATAGCCATTTAGCAGAACATCTTCCGAGAAATACAAAATGGCCAAGCAAGGCAGAAATATCCTGGCATGTGATGCTTTGGTTATTTTGTACCTATATATCAATAGTAGGTCAGGAATGCAGATATATACAGACACCTTTGTGATTATTTAATTGCATTTATCTTTACTTTTTCAGATGAGTTTTCGCACTGCTGTTACCCTGTATTTCATGTAAACCGAGAAAGATAATACGTGAATGTGTGAGACTGCTGGCATCCGTCCCTGCTTGGTAAATTACTACAAGTCATTTCCTCGAAGGCCATGTTTGTGCCACTGTAATTGCTTCATTGTGAAAGTAGGTGCATTTATTTATCAGGGACTCTGATCAGCAAGAATAGCAAGGTGTGAGACGGTTGCCTGACAGCACATGCAAACAGCAAAGGAACGATTATATGCAAGTGTTTGCACTTTGCTATTGGGATCCAGGTCTGAGTATTAGCAGCAAACCGGTGCAAACCGACTTACAGAAATATGTGCAGATGTTGCATTTATGCCTTTACTGTGTGGGGGGGGTACTTTTTTAGCTTGAGGGCCGCATTCCTTTCCAGAGGCCACACGCCTGGACAGGGCCAGAGGCAAATGTGGGCAGAGCAAGGAACACAAATTTTCTTTCTGTACGGGGGGGGGGGGTTAGTTTCCACAGGCATCTGCACACCTCTCTCAGTCATTTGTCCAGAGAAGCAAGAAGCACTATCAGAGAACAAGGACACATTCTAGCCAGAAAGGGACACTCTGGCTAGGAGCCAGAACCAGTGAGGATGAATAGAGCCTGGGGAGAGCTTTGAGCCCTTAAGGGCCACCTTCAGCCCATAGACTTAAGGTTCCCCAACTCGGCATTCAAAATGAAAGCCAAACTGAGAGGTCATGAGCACCTCATTACATGAGGGTGAATGCTCACAGGTTTGGACTTGCACCAGTTTTGGGCTTTCTACCAATAAAGCTGGCCAGATGTAAAGCTATCTGAACCAGCACAGACCATGTCTGAATGTTTTCAAATGGTTTGGGGTGATTCTTCAAAGACATGCCCATCTAAAACAAGCTATCTCTAGAGAAGTGAGACTCTTGGTCCATGATGCATTATGCAACATTATCTTGACCTCACTTTTAAATATAGATTTAAGTAGAAAGCCCATGCACAGTGGGGAGGAAGCCCCACTGACCATAGGAGGGGACATGCGTATGATTGCACTGTGAGGATACTTGAAGCTTCTGCCAAACTCCTTTCTGTCGCTGTCTCCTGTGCCCTCTTCTCACCTTGGCCAAGTCAATTGGCACGTGTCTGTTCCATAAAATCTCATGCTTACATGTTTGTTTTGTGGCTGCAGCCTTCAAGGATGTAGATATGGAGGAGTGTTTGCATAAATGAAGGGCCATTCCAAAAAGTTGCCCACAGGCATTGTGCTTCTGGACCTGAGTGAACCCATCAAAGCCTTGTGTTTGTGTTAATATTAAAATGGGTGTCCAGCTCATATTGATGTGAAATACAGGTTGAAAACCCAGGTGACACAACCCATTTTGTTTTTATTAATACAGACTTGCACAACAGAATGGTAACTTGTAAAATTATTTAATTACGGTACTTAAATAGTAACAAGATAGACTGGAGTCAGGGAAGAAGAAAATGCAGCTTTAAAAATAATGTTCTAAGGTTTCTACCTAAGGAAACATAAAAAGGTTCTAGGGTAATTATTATCCACCTGATTTGTTAATACAAGATAAAAGATGGTGACTTTAGGATCCTTCCTAAAAGATTAAATATGTCTCTGTAGATAAGCCACCACATATCTGAACATATACCAATCAGCAGTCACCATGGAAATTAATTATTTAATAACAGATTGAATAGCTGTGATCATGCCAATAAAGAATAAAGATCACATTTTTTGTACAATTTAACACACATGCCTCAACATACGTTCACTAATATTCGTACAAACCTCTTGCAGATAGAAACTACACTGAAAACACACAACTAGCAAAAATAAAAGACAAATAGTATGCATGGTGTAAATATAGTATGCAATTTACATAAGTATATTTAATAGTTTTATCAGTATATCTTGGGCTATCTGCTTTCTGTATGGTTGTTGCATGTTTGTCAAGTGTGTGAAAGCCCAGCAGAGAGGAAGATGAGAGACAGAGAGAACAAACACCATGATGGGCAGCTCAGCCGTGAGTTTATGAAGAACGCCAAGGATTAATTTCTTCGTCTGCTGCAACCCCAAAGGGTGACCTGGGAGATGAGTTCCAAGGTACATTAATGCATCAGTATAATGCACCAGATGACCTGAATTACAGCTAGCAGATGTTTTGTAGTGCATAGTGGTTGAGTTACACCAGTTGACAGTTTCAGTAAAGAGCCATATTAATGGTCAATAATACATTCGCAGGAATGCTCGAGACCCCGGCTCACTTCTTGTCATCATCGTTAGGAAAGAGTCTGTAAGCCAAAAAGTCCATGGACTCCTGAGCCAGCTTGGAGAGGTGGAGGACGCCCGTGATCACCAGAGCAATGAGCATGAGCGGCAGCACCACATTCCACACTGTGGCAAGGACATTGTAGCACCTGGCTTTGGAGCCGTAGCGATGGGCAGCTTCCAGGTCACCGGACACCTTCTGATCCCGTGCCTTCCAGAAAGAAGAAGGAAAAGGCACAGAGCATTAGTAAGGCTACACAGAAAGAAAGCGATGGGGAAGGGAAACCCCCTGTGTAGAGCAGAACAAGACAACTGAGAAGGACCAACACCCAAAACTGGAGTCACAAGGTTAGAAGCAACTATGTCAAGACAGCTACGTATATCTGGGAGCTGGATTTGGTCAGTCTCTTTGGTCTACACAGTGCCTGTGGTATTGGGGTCAGTCCTCATTCTATTCCCCTGAAGTTCACAAAGCAAATTGGGTGGGTGATGGTTGGCACGCGTGACACCATCCAGATGTAGGAATGGTTTACAGAAACCCACACAAGCTGGCATTGCCTTATACTGAGCATTGTTCCTGTGTTCCATACACATCCGTTTAGTGCTAGAAGTCACAAAGTGGCAGCATAAGACGCTCCATGCGCTTATAGGCCAGTGAGTGCTCAGTAGGCCAGTGGATGCACAAGCTGGAGCTTTCACAGGGACAGAAGTATGGCACATCCTCGTTCCAGCTCTCTGGAACCAGTGACCTGTTTTACTTCTGCTATTCACTACATAGTGTTGATTCCCAACCCACACCCATCTCTCCAGCCTGGCTTTCCAAACTCCTTTTCCAGGTCTAGAGAGATCCTGGTTGCTGTTTCTTTCCTGTTATGTTAAATGCCAACCTAATTCTTTGTAAGTCATTTTGGGTTGTCCTGGGCAAGACAAAATGACTAACAAATTTAATAAATACATAAATATTTTTTTACAATCATTACATCAGTCACAAACCAAAGAAAGTGTACAGTAGCTTTCTTATCTCTGGATAAATCACTGACTTACCAGTAGTTCCGCATGCGGGAATGTGTTGAAATATTGGTTACAGTGCCTTTACAATAGCCTGTCCCAACTCTTAATTCCATTTCCTCTCTGCAGACTATTAATTACACAATTTAATGAACTATCAACAAAGCAGCCCGAGCCAGTGGGAATGGAAGGGATAGCATGACACACCACAAATCAGTCCTATACATTTTATTGTACCCTTGCCCCATGCGTCCTTTACAATCTTTGCTTCACTTCAGGATAGCTAACTTCTTTCTTTCTTTATTTTGCTAGTGCTGCTCCTGCACCTTTAAATAACAGCCTAGTTCACAATATGCAGTAGCTAAGACTTTCTCCCCATTAATCTCCATACCAGGAAACATTTCCTTTGAAAGATTTTTGGGTGTCACAGCTCTTAAAAGGCATAGTATTCTCCTGAACAATACAATATTACAAACAATAAGCTATAAAGACTGGTGTACATAGAGGTGGGGAGAATTTGGTTCCTTCCCAAATTTATTTTCTGCAGCTACATACTGGGAAATGTCATCTGCATAAAAATGAACTGTTTGAAGCATGTGCTCTATCAGGTATAACATTTAGTAGCCATCGAGAGATTCCTGAAGTCACATTTCTGCACCAAGTATAAATTTTTGTCTCTGTTATCCTGTATTTTGCTCTTTAAACTTTCATGAAAACCACAGTTATCTAGGAATTCAACTCTCCTTCCAGTAGTTTTATACATGACCAGGTTATGGTGCAGTGAGTTTGTGGTATTTCCTCGATTACTAGATATTTCTACTTCAATTTCTACTTCTGTTTCCTTTGCCTTTTTAAAAGTGCTTCATAATCCGGAGAACAGAGAGAAATGGAAAAATTATTATACAGGACCCACTTGAAATGCATGCTACAATCCCCTGGGGAAAGCAGCGTTTTAAAACTTAAATTCAGGGTTGCAATCTGGTCTGTTGTTTTTAGAAGAGGAACTATGGAATGGAATTGCTGTGTGAAACAGTAAGAGACAGGCTCTGGAGTTTCACAGCACTCTTCATCATTATGCCTAGATACGTCCACTACCCCAAGATAGACTGAAATGCTTTCCTCCTTATCTCTAAGGTTCCATAGCAGATTCTGTGTAACTGATGCCACCAAATACCACAGCTACCCTCTGGGAATTGCTCTCAACCAGAATTCTCTGGAGGGGCCATTCCAGGCAAATATGTAGCCCCAGTGCAGGGCCCAAGAGATAAGAACCAGTGGAGAATCTTCCTACCTTGACAGAATAAGCAAGGGCGACAAAGCCAAGGCAACACAGGTTCATGTAGATGGTGTTGAATACGGACCAAATCATATAGTCGCGGGGGACCACCGGAGGCTTGACAGTGATGACCGTTGGAGAAGGTTCCTGCTTACGGGAAGACATGGGCAGGTAGTCTTCACGGGGATAAGAAGTGTCCATGGCTCCAGCTGGAGGAATCACACACCGTTTCCTTGGAGGAATCACACTGTTTCCTAGCAGTGGCAGCCTGTGAGCGTGTGAGCGGGGGAAGGTAGTGACAGCCGTTTATATAGTGCCCAGCCAAGGCACAGATTCATCTCCATCTATATATAAAACAGGGAAATTGCAGCTCTGGTTTGACTGTGGTTATCAGAAATGCTTTGCCAGGACTGAGAGAACTGTTTGGTTTCCAAGCCTGCCCTCGCTCCCTTGGACAAGGAGTGCTTTTTATAACCCTGTGGTTGGTGTTGGCCCAACGCCGTCTCAGAGAGCTCCAGCAATTCAGGCACTTGTCTTCAAAGGCAAGTACAGGACAGAGACAAACTGGAGCACGACAAGGTGCTACTTACAGGGCAAGTGCTCTCATATGTGTGAGGTCATCAGGTAACGGCAGACAGAGCTAACAAACCTTATCTTGTAGGGGTTTTTACCCCCATCCCTGCAGAAATGTCTCCTGCTTCTTACCCTTCCAGTGTTTTCCCCTTGCACTTGTCGGTTACAAGGTTTTAAAAGCCAGCTGACATACTCTGGTTTCTCTTCGTATAGATCGTATAAAACTTTCGCCTTTTACTAAAGATTCATGAGTTTTCAACTGATTTTTTAAGGCCTTGCTTTGGCAGGGCTGAAAAACAACAAAGCAAAAAGCCAGCTGATGACTGCATTGTGTCTGGTTCAGCCCACCATCTCTGCATTTTACGATGCAGTTTAATGCAGTTTATGAGGACTGTTTAATGTAGATTACAAAATGTATAAATGGTGGGCTGAACCAGGAAGATGCAAAGTGTTTGTGCTATTGACTTAAAAAAAGATTTTAAAAAACCACTAAAAGAAAGCACAGGGTGTTAAACTGTAGAATTTGACCTCACAGGGGGCAGTGATGGCCGCCATCTTGGATGGCTTTAAAGCAGGATTGGACAAATGACTACCATTGATGATAACTGTGATCTGCCTCCATGGTCAGAAGCAGTATGCTAGAAAACGTGGTAGGGCAGAGTGTTCTTGCGCTCTGGTCTTACTTGAGGATTTCCCACAGGCATTTGGGTGGCCACTGTCAGAACAGGATGCTGGGCTGGCTGGGTCATTCGCTTGATCCATCATGCTCTTCTTACCTTCTTGTGAGTTCTAACTTTGACCTCATCTAGAATTGTGCTTGTCCTTTGCCTAGAAAACACACAGGACAAGCTTTCTCCCATGCTTTCTAGGCATGGGTCTGAGTGGTTTTGCCCTTGCCCCACTGCTAAAAATCCTGCTGTTGAGCAATAAAGGTGAAGGTAAAGGGACCCCTGACCGTTAGGTCCAGTTGCGGACAACTCTGGAGTTGCAGCGCTCATCTCGCTTTATTGGCCAAGGGAGCCAGCGTGCACCTTCCAGGTCATGTGGCCAGCATGACTAAGCTGCTTCTGGCGAACCAGAGCAGTGCATGGAAATGCCGTTTACCTTCCCGCCGGAGCAGTACCTATTTATCTACTTGCACTTTGACGTGCTTTCAAACTGCTAGGTTGGCAGGAGCAGGGACCGAGCAACAGGAGCTCACCAACCTCACTCCTGAGAAAACCTGATGGATGTTTGCTCTGATTCAGCAGTAAAGATTGGGATTCTCTAGGGGAAAGCAGTGAGGCAAGCAAGTCTGGCTGAACCCTTTGATCAGAGCTGTAGTGCTTGAGGTGCAGGTGTTTAACTCCCCACACACACACACACATTACTTCCTGGAGTCAAATCACTTTCCTGAAGCTACTATCAGCCCCTGGGAGGGTGAAGTGGGGAAAACAGCTACAACAGCTGAGCTGCACCTGTGTTTCCTTCCTGTGGGGATAACTTGAGCTTTGTGGGCAATTTAGAGGAAGGGATTTGCATTAGAATATGAAGCCTTAAAGACATTCTCCTCCTACTGCCACTGTTAATAATAACATTAGAACAGTGTGCCTGTTTTACAGTTAAGGGATCTCCTGCATTGTAGTCCGTTTGGAGCTATATCACTCGTGTATGGCTGTTAGCAGACCCCTGATGTTTGTATTTCTCCTGCTGCTAGTAGAACTTGAAAAAATGTTTGTAACTGTGGGAGCTATTGGATTACCCAACAATAACATAACTGCAAGGGTTATCATACTATGTCATGGTGAATCTGACAGTGAAGTGTGCGCACCCCAAAAAAGAAAGGCAGAGAACTGCCCTATGTTTCAGATCTCTATGGGCAATAGAACACGCTGGGCTAGAGAAAATGCAAAGATGTATGGAAATGGACCAGGAGTCTCCATTACCTGTCTCTCTTTTCCCCAGCACCTCTCTCCTCTCTGTGCACTAGAGAGATCTCAGTCCAGACACCAATATCACCCACCCTTCATAACAAGCAATCATGCTTATTGTTTAGGACTGTCACCTTATAACTCAGTCCTAAGCTTAAAGGACAAAGATCCTGTAGGGATTTTGTTATCAAGGGCTGCTTTTATCATCCCCACCTGACTCGCTTTGCTTGCCAAAAAGAAAAGAAACAAAACCCTTCCCTACAACTATTAAAAGTAAACGAGCTCCGTGTCTTTAGAAATTCAGTCAACTGGATTTATGTATGAAATTATTTGCTGAGTTGCCCTACAACTGATTTCTGTTTACTGCAGCAGGTGGCCCTTCCTTCGTGACAAGGATCATTCAGTCCATTGTGATGCCGGTGGATCTGACCAGCTGAACTGCAGCCCTTTGGCCCTAATAATGAGAAAGGAGGGATACAGTATGATAGTGGCAGACTTTCCAACACTAGCGCAAAGGAGGATAGAACTCACCCCTGTATCTGTTGCACAGAAGAGGCATTTTCTTTCTTACAGCTATTAAAAGTCAATGAGACTTTTCCCTTACTGGTCTTCCTATAAAACCCAAAGCTGTATAAACACAGGTCTCTGCTATAAAAGTAGCCTGTGAAAGAAGCTCAAAAGCTTGCAAGTCAAGGTTATATATATAACTACAGTATAAATGTTAGAACATCAGGCTCCCCCAGTCTCTTTTCTTTGGCTCCATCACGTGGCTAGAAGAAAAAGTGCAAGAAAGCTAAGCAAAAAGTAGAGGGTTTTAAGATTAAACAATGGTATTATGGTATGGGATAGACTTCTGAACACCACTTGATCAGATGTGTGAATTGGTTTCCTTACTAGACAGATAGGGAGGGGTGTACACACCACACACACACACACGTACGTGTGCAAGGGGGAGAGAGAAAAGTAGTGAGGTCAGAGAGAAATGAAAAGTTACAAATCCAGAGGTGGGACAACTTATTTCTGTCAAAGGCCAGATACCAGCTACAGGTATGGACCTCCATCTTACCAGAATTCAGTCTGTTAGCCCCAGTGCAGCCCACCAAAGTAACAATACCTACACATCCTCTCCTGATGCATATGGAATGGAGGGACAGAGCACTTGTTAATAAAAACAAGAGCAATTATTTATTTTATGAAGGGGAAAAACAGAAAGATGAATTCATATAGGTATACAATTCTAGGCAAAGTTTTAAACTACAAATAGAAGGGGATGAAGTCCACTTACTAAGTGATTCCCAGTTGAGTGAGTCTAGGGCAAAATAGTCAGTCTCCTCCTCTGTCACTCCCCTGGCTGTGGAGCAGTTGCTGCTGCTGTATTATCACTGTGTGAGGGTATAACATGAAGGCTACTCTCTCCTCCACTGTGTGATTGTTTTTATTCTCATTGTAGTTTCTTCTGCCTTTTTCACTTCTTCAAGCAACTTACTCAACATGTACTCTCTTCCAATCTCTGCAACCCTGCAAGCCCCTTTGTGGACGATGCGAGAGATGAACCAAGGCAAATGACAAGAGTCTGCCTTGCAAGCAGTAGGTTCCAGGTTCAGTTCCCAGCATCTCCATGTAAGGTTGGGAGACCCCTGCCTGAAACCATGGAGAACCGGTGCCGGTCAGTGTAGACAATACTGAGCTACATGGACCAATGGTCTGACTCAATATAAGGCAGCTTCCTATATTCCTATGACAAGACTGTCCCACCACCAAGACCGCCCAATTTCTGAACAGACTGGAAGTTAAATCCTACTTCAAACACCTGCCAACAGGGCCAGTATCCACTGGAACAGAGTGCATCAGGCTAGCTCTGTCCTCCAGCCCCCCTCTGCTGCTCCCTGCCTCCCACAGGACATAGGCTGTGTGAAGTGACCTCATTCCATTTAACAGCAGGGCCAATCCTATGGCCCTCAGTCAACTCCAAAGGGCCATAAATGGCTATGCTCCACAAATCTCATGGGGGCTATACTGCACAGCCTTACATATGCAAAATAATTTTGTGCAACTAAAGATGAAATCTTACGTGCTTCACAGTGAAAATGTATAGATAGGATGTGATTGCTTGAGCTGTTGGGGAACCCATTAGAATGCATCTTTTCCTCTTTTAACCACTACAGAAATGCTTTTATTTATTTAGGCCATCATAGGAGCACCTATCAACTTTCAAGATGTAGATAATCTGTTTTACAAAGTCCTATCTTCTTAACTTAGGCATCCTTCAACATGGTGCTAGCAAGACTCACTATCCACCACTGACACCCAAGTGGCCTGTATAGGTCAGCTTCCATCTAATCATGCAGCAACCATTTGGGGGGATTATAAAATGTCTATCACATGATGAGGATGGGAGCCTCCCATACAGAAGCACAGCTTCTTTGTACCATCAAATTAAAACAATACAGTGCACCACACAGTAAAAATTACAAATCCAGAACTTGTCAATACCACAATGGCACAAAACATTGATCGGAGGCATGGATTCTAAAGATTCTTACAATGCATTTTCTCCAATACCTCTGTGTCCACAGATGTGTACTGTGATTTGATGGTGATTCTGTTTGGAACACCTGTTTAAAAAATTATGAAAATTCATGAGAACATGTGCCTTGGGTCCATGTTTTTGTGCCATTGCAGTGCATTTTTGTTCCATGGTGGTAGTAAACAGCCAGTCTTTAAATTTTACTGCGCAGTCAGCAGACACCAATGTAAGCTTTAACTTGATTATTTATACCCCGTCCATTTGGCTGGGTTTCCCCAGCCACTCTGGGCGGCTTCCAACTGAATATTAAAAACAGTACAGCATCAAACATTAAAAACTTCCCTAAAGAGGGCTGCCTTCAGCTGA